GGGTGAATCGGCTGGTATGGGGATACTGAATGAGATGATAGGGTCCGTCCTCTTGTCCAGCGGGTGCAGGGCATGGTGTCTAGTAGTCAATGCTTTTGGTCTGCCAATGCCCGTATTTACTTCTGTCCATCCGTCATCCACACAACCTACTTCTCTGGGTCGTTCAACTTGTTTGGATCGTCTGGCCTGTATCGACACAACAGGTGAAGACCTAGTTGATAGTTCACATGGGCTTTTCGTCATGAAGCTGTACCACTGACCTGCGTTGTTTTTATCACAGATACAGTGCATCCATTTTAGTCAAATGTTGTACCCAAAGGCCTCGCGAGCCTTCAAATCGCGTGCACACAAAGGTCTAAACCGTCAGGGGTTTGCTCCTTGCTGACAACCCCAAGGTCTGCTTTCCGTGAGTTAAAGTCGACCATGGCGTGTTTCGGTATACATGCTCGCTGACATAAGGATTTTCGGTATCGTTTGTTTTTTACCAGCGGGACGCATAGAGGCATATTACCCTTCCCTGGCCACATGAGTCCACCGTTTTCGGTTAAAGCTATGTCTGGTCTGGCAGAGGCACAGAGATCCCGGATGCTGTTGGCACTTTCGCCCTTATCTTCTCTGCTTATCATCCGCTCAACCTCATCATACGAGTTTCAGGTTACTGCCTGGGCTTCTGCAGCATTATAGTTTTGCTAAGTACCCGGAAAATGTAGGGAAAAAAGACAAGAAGTGGTGTGGGATATATCATGCTCCAGCGAACCTGATGCTCGGTCTTTCCCACTCCATCAGCAACTTTAACCAAATACTCCGAGTGCGTACATGTGGACCAAGAAAGATTTTTCTTGGTGAATGATCTCCTGAGAACGCAAAATGTGTGGCAGTCGGCTAGCCCAGACGACTCCAAATTACCAACAGGAAGCATTTGAAAGTTGAGAAGCAAATCACTCTGTTGTAGATGACAGTTCTTGCCTCCGGTTGATTAACTTAATTTCATTCACTGTAGCGATGTGGGTGAAAGCTGTTTTTCAGTGATGAGCATCACAGTACTGACCTTTGGATCGGAAATGAAAAAAGGATGACATCGTTCAGACGGGGAGAAACGGCCTATACATGGAAGCTTCCACCGGAAAACTGACACATTTTTCTGAAGTAAGAATTTACATTTATTGATCGAAGAAATGCGGACCCACGTCGGTCCAACTTGATGGGCGTTTCTGGAGTTCTTTATGATGGCCTCAGAGATAATTAACTTTAAGTACGAAAAGATGAGACGCACCAGTCCTCAAGTGATTGATGGGGATGCAAACTGCTTGTGCCAGTCACCTCCATTCCTGCAGCGACGTAACTAGAAAAATTCGTTCAATCTATTGATTCATCATGAGGCTTTTCTCTTGTGACATTAGATACTGCGCATGTAAAGTTTTTTATAGGCCACTGACATTACATTACTGAGTTTTAAGTGTTTCCAGTCCACGTTCTAACAGCGAGCTCCATCAACGTTCCCACTGTTTCAGTATTTTCCGAGTGACTCTATCGATCCTTGGATGACGATATGTGTCTTCGTGGTAACAAAAAAGGAATAAACAGTACCGTGACTGAACGTGGTTCCAAGTCCCTCTCCAACGTCCTCGGTAGAAGAGTCCTTACTGATAGCCTGATCATTACGGACCGCGCATCCCCTTATACTTCTAACGTCTGGGCAACACATATTAGGCACAAGGAAACGCGACCATGGTCAAATTCGTACATTTGGTAGGCAAAAGTTAATGCTACAAAGTCGTTATTCGCTGACGGGCGGAATCATCGCTGGTCCTTGCAGTTCGCGTGCTGTAAATTGAAAAAAATAATTTGATGGTGGTGGATTGTTTTCCAAGTGGAAACGCTTCGTATGAGACATATTTTGAAACCGCTGCAGATCACGGTGAAAACAAAATTGGGTCATTTTTGAAGCAGACGGCTGGGGCTATGAATGTCAGCTTCTTTTATCTGATATATGGAGCGCACCCGCAGCGAGATATTGGAAGTCTATCCCCTATCCCCTGGTTACAAATATAAGTTAGCTGCAAGGTGAGGTGGGTCGAATTAAATGACCCAAATTTAAAGGGGGCGCTATCCCAATTTCAGCATAACTGGCCATTTCACGGGTGCCGCACTCGCCTGGTTATAGAGTAACAGATCATATGTTGATGTCGCCACTAATATAAGGCAATATTCCCATACCTTTGACACCCTTGGCTGTTCCTACTGCACCGAGAGAATACCCCGCAAAAGTGGAACAGAATCTAAATAACTTACCAGCTAGGTTTCACTGACTTCATCCCAATGTGAAGGAAACGGGGACGCAGTCTACTTGACACAAGATCAGATCAAGAAGGGGAGCAGATGTGGATTCATACCACTCACTATCTAGTGCGATGAACATACTTTTAAAGTCGAGTTGAAAGCCTTCAAGGAAGTTGATGATAGACCGCAGTCCCAGTTCAACGCCGAAAGCAGAAACCGAAGTACGAAACTTCATGTCAACCATCAAGAACAGAGAGAGACATTGATCAACATCTGTGAAGAAACCTGCGTGGGAGAACACTGGAACTTTTTTAAAGAGATGTGGAAGGAAACCTGCATAACGGTATTAGGAAGGAAGGAGAAAGAAGCCAAAGAATGGACCACCAGGAATACAAGAAAGCTGATAGAGGAGGGCGAGGAAGATGGTGAAGCAGATGATGCGATGAACAACGTTAAGAGGAACCGAGTACGATCTATACAACACTACACTGGACAGAGAAGTGAAGGAGAGTGAGCGGAAGGGCAAAAGACACTTCTATGACACACTCACACGCGAAGCAGAACAGGATGCAGACAGGAGAATCAAAGACCTGGCAGGAACATATCAAATAACCAGGTTACCATCTGGGAGGGGATAGATCAACGCAGACGAAGACAACGAAGGATGGTGAAGGAAACCTGGTTGTCAAAGAGGAGAAACGAAGGAGACGATAACCCGACCACTTCAAGAAACTCTCAAATCGACCACCATCACCACTTGCAGCTTGTCTAGAAATAGCATTAGCAGCGCAGCCACGTAACTACCAATGAACACAAGCCCTTCGACAAAAGGGGAGGTGAAGTCCTGAACTCCATAAAGTCACTGAAATCCAGGAAAGCAGCAGGACCAGATGGAATTCCAGCGGAAGCACCGAAAACAGACTTAGAGACAACAGAGGACGTGTTCACGCCACCACTGCGGAAGGTTTGCAAGGAAGGAAAGGTACCTGCAGATTGGAAGAAGAGCTACATTGTCAAATTCCTAAGTCTCTGCAAGAAATGGCGAGGAATCATGCTCCTGTCCCTGTCCACCCCAAGCAAAATATTAGGCCGCATCATCCTGAGGAGAATAAAACATGGGCTGAATTCAAAATGACGGCCGGAACAGGCTGGCTGACTGGCTTCAGGAAGAACAAATCATGTGCGGACCAAATCGCAATGCTACGCATCATCATAGAACAGAGCATAAAACAGCACTCAAATCTTCACGCCAACCTCATCGATTACGATCAGGCCTTCGACAGCGTCGACCGATAGGTTGTCTGGCAGCTGCTTCAACTCTACTAGTGTCACAAACCCTTATCGACCCCATTCACTAGCTGTGAATTGTATGATGCCAAATGCCGAGTGATTCACAATGGCAAGCTCAGTGGTGCCTCTGAAGTGAAGACAGGGTGGAGGAAGACAAGGTTGCCGTCTAGTGTCGCTGGTCGTCTTCCTGATTGTGGCCGATGGACTGGACTATATCATGAGACAAACTGTGGGGAGCGAAAGGAGGGGCATGCGCTGCTTGGCCGATGAAAGAAATCTAGAAGATTCGGATTTCGTCGACGATGAATTGCTTCCAGGTCTATAGGCCAAAACCAACAAGTTGGCAGAAAAGGCGAGGCAGCGAAGATGGAACCTCAGGTGAAAGTGGAGAAGACAGAGGTTATAAAGATACCGAACCAACAACGAAAATGACAACAACAGGCACCTGTCACCGTCAGTCAGAGAAACTTAAAGGAAGTAGTCTCTTTCACCTGCTTAGGCAGGGCAGCATCGTTTCAACTACAGGTGGTGGCAGCGACGGCACAGATGAGGACGCCAGAGGCAGTATCGGAAACGCGGGACAGGCCTCCATCAACCTGAACTCAGTGTGGAGACCTGCAGCACTCAGCATAAAGCATGAAAAAGATCTGGATTTTCAACACTGATGTCAAGTTAATGCCTCTATGTGGTTGAGAGGCTTGGTGCGTTACGAAAAGCATTTCGAACAAACTGCTGAGGTACATCACATCAACAGCTGCCGCCTGGGCTCACTCGATACTGAAAATCAGATGGCTAGAATATTAAGCATAAGCAACAAGAATCCCTGGCTAACAACGAATCCGCCAAGAACCTATCACCCAACAAATATGCAGACGAAAGTGGAGACGGATTCAGGTGGAAATACACTGGGAAGACCGTTCACGGACATCATACTCCAGACCAGGCCCTTGAGTGGAACCCAAAGGGGAAACAACGAGTTTGGCGTTGGAGGGTGACATGGAGGAGTTCGTGTGAGGAAGAAATAAAAGATTATGAACAGGTTGAAAAGAATGAAGAGAAGAGAGCGAAACGGCGACGTTCTACTGAACCCCTATGTTCCACAAGGAACCCAAGGGACAAATAGTAAGTTATAAGAAATCCCGCTTTCTTTTGGTCCAGTTATTTTTTGCTCCTACAGCTTTAAACTCGCATACAGGTAGAAAAGCCATACAGACCATCAATCTGATCAAGATCTCTGTAGCTTCCTTACTTACCAGTCTACAAACTACTGAGTGAAGTGACTCACAGACGAGTGTTGTGTAATGCAAACAAGCAGTAAACATGTTCAAACCTATTGAAGGTGCAAAGTCGAGAAATGTTAAACGTTTGAACTAGTATATGAGATTTAAAAACTGCCAGTTTGCACTACTCACTCGAAAGATATTGGATATTGTATCTGTAGATTCAAAATTGTGCGCTTCGGTATCGGCAGTGATGCTACGCTTAGTGTGCAATGTAGCGACTGGGTAGCAATTCCAGTTAGGCTTTTTAAAATCTACACTTTTGGTTATTTGTAAAACGTTACTGTTCCTTAGCGCTAAAATAGTATGTTTTGTTTGCGATTCTGCTTGTTTTCCAGGGTTAAATAATACTGTTATATTATTTTTTACTAACCCTGGTGGATATACGCTGTCTAGTGTAATTGCCCTAAATAGTGTAGATCGATTCATTCTACTCCTCAGTTTAAGTTTGTTGTTCAGAACGTTTTCATCCTAGACTGACAAAATCAGGAAACAAAGCATTGTCGTTGTGGGAATTTTTGTTTGTATTCCTAGAAGTTTGCTATTGTTAGTGCAGTTATGTGGGTAAAATCAATATCTTCATCCGTTCTCTCCCACAGTTTCACACAGGTGACTAACCTGCGTTTGTGTTCAAACACAATTCAAAGATTTCGTATATGTTAGGATTCATTTGGTAGTTTTTTTATCTAGTTTTCGTCTTTGTTGTTGCTCACGAATAATGTATGTATGTGCGTAGCTTTCTGATGACTGAATCTTGACACCCAAATCCAGGATAAGGTATACCGTTGTTACATCATTTAACTGAGTGAAGTTGATGAATTCACAGTTTATATGCAGTCGGCAGACGCCAGTCAGAACTGAGCACATCAGAAGAATGCTTATTAGTATCTATCTGGTGACCAACTCCTGATTTCGGAGTACATTTCAAGTAACACTCGGTATCGAACAGAATATGAATTGCAACGTTCGTTTCTGGGCACCCAGATATTGAAATTTCTAGTGACTAACCAAAGCTCAACATTCAAACTGTTGAGATAAGCCGAAATTCGACATTAGCTGGACAACTTACGAGTTTAAATCAGGCAGTGATAGAAAGTAATCCCTAGTGATATGCGCAAAAAGGTTTCTTTTACAATGTTAGCATGCTAAACCAGACAGACAGAAAAAACCGACGTGAAATCTCGCACAGTAGTGCTTCGGTTTGGTTTAGTACACTGACCAGAGGCATGCAAGGAACAAGTAAAGAAAGTTGTATCGAAGTCGGTTTTCAGTAATAAGGATAGTAGCCCATTTGCCCTATGTTAATCCTTGCAGAAGATTTCTCTGTAAAGATATAGTTTCTCCTTGAGCGGGTTGACCGAAGTAACTGATACTGAGGAGTTCCAGGCGTTGACCATACGATAAGAGAAACGCAGATTCACACCAGGTTGATTCGACCGCAGGCTTTGGATTTTCTTGTCATGCTATTGGAGATAATCAATCCTAGCAGGAGAGAAAAGATACGACATATCAGTACCGAAGTCATTATTAAAGATACTAAATGCCAGTATGAAATGACCCCGTTTCCTACTGTAAAACACCATTATTAAGCACATCAAAATCCGCAGAGAAGAATTAACTAAAGTGATTCGGCAGACATTCAGCTTTAGACAGATTAGATTCCACCAAACTATCAGGCATTTCATCCGTCACCAGATAGGGAATTCCTCATTTTCTTTTGGTCGTAATGAATGCAGACAGTCTTTCAGGACACTTGGCAATCGTTTACAAGGTGTTTCTTGTAGGACATTCGAGACTACATTATCAAAGTTTTGCAGAGACTATAAAGTATCCAGTTTTAAATGTTTCCAGTCTAGTTTCTATAACCAAGTTCCATAGGTGTTTTCTCCACCTTCAGTTTCTGAGTATCTCTATTAAACCACAGAGGACGAAATGAGGATCTTCGTGGAGTCAACTTCGGAATAACTGGCGTATGTACCCCTTTTAAAAAGAGTTCTAAACCTATCCCAATTGATGAATCCTTGTTAATAGTCCAATCCTCACCGAATGCGCAATCCATTATGCTTGAAATGCCTGGATACCACATATTAGGTCTAGGGGGAAGCAGTGTCATAATCAAACTCATACGTTCAAAAAACAATTCATGATCGCTGTTAACTAACGGAGGGAAGTATCGCAGTTCTATAATATCTTCACATTGGCAGGTTAAAGCCAAATCTGATAACGATGGCTTGTGTTCGAGATCGTATCGTGTTTCACAAGTTACGTTCTGAACTAAAGCAGATTCCGGTACCGTTAAAAGTAGACCCCTTTCGAAGTCACTGTCCAAGGCCAAGATTGTAAGCTCCGTCCAGCTTATATGTGAAACGTTCAGATCCCCAACCATTAAGCATTTATTACTTCTACCGCAGTTACGTATATGAGTTAGCACGAAGTCATTTCCAAGGTAAGATGGACTACGGTAAATTAATTCAGTAGTACGTAAACCTTGCTTTAACTTCAGCTAACAACTGGCCACCTCGTAGGTACCGTATTCCTGTGCTTCCGAAATGACTTATTGTATGTGAACATGATCACAAACGGAGTAGTATGCTGCCACCTTTGTGACCCACAACCATATCTGTCCTTACACAGTAATACTTAGTTAAAACGGGGTAAAATCTAAGTGCTCTATCAGCCAGGTTTCAGTAAAGACCACTTCACCAAAACCTAGTTCACAGACTAGAGTATTGAGGTCTGTCATTTTATTTCTACAACAAAAGGGGGATTTGAAGAGTGAAGAATAGTGGTAATGTCCAGAATTTAAAGAGCATCAAAAGGTAGGTACATCTGCGCTACTGTGACTGACTTTCACCCGTGTCATCAAAGGATCGCAACTACTGATTCTTGCCTCGAAGATGTCAACTGAGTAGTCTGCACACCCCGTAAACGGCTCTGATATACAGCCGAAGACTTTATCGGCTAATGCTGCTTCATGGTGTGACCACCCTAATGCTTCTTTCACCCCAACCCTATTTTGGCCAACACTACACATCAAGATAGATGGTAGCTGGGCATGCTCGACATATCTAAGCCACCTCAGTCGATTAAGGTTCATAGTCTCATCGACCGACTTATTTGGCTAGTACCCTCTGCCTAACCTCGGTACGGCAATTCCCTCATGCTCGAACAATACTAATAAGACACCTGTCTTCGGAAAATTGTAACCTGCACATATACTGTTAATGACCGCGTCTTACGGCCGTTACTATGGGACAAAGCTGAATGTAGCGCAGTATACTCGTCCATTAGTAGGTAGGTAGGATGCTTTTCAGTTCTAGAGATAACTCAAGTTAGTGAAAGCCGAACAATCCTTTCGTATACGAGTTGAGATTCCTTCAGCAACCAACCCATTCTAACTGATGCGACTTCCCATCTAAATGAGGTGATGAACGCATTCAATCACTACATTATCCTTCAACTGGGAGTACCTTCAAACTATTACTGAAGCCTCATCTTGGATTTGTCAAGTGGGAAATGCATGCCAAATACTTATTGTCCAACGCAAGGCCTTCGTAAAACTGCATTTCGTCGAGGTCTTCGCCCATCAGAAGAGTCTTTTTCGTACTCAACTAAATGCTGTCCAGAAAGCATACCAATCACTGTGATTTTAGACACACTTAAGGCCGTGTTCATCAGTATGTTTATTACGGAGTTAAGCACAATGATAACAAGTATCACCGATAGTCGTCACTTCAAATGACAACTTCCTGTGTGTCCTTGGTCGGCTACTTGAGATCGAGTAGACGACTTTGAATAGCGTTACGTACTTGCTCGGTACTCCTGTCAAACACTGCGATCGCACTCTTAGTTGACAGACTCGAGCAACCAAGTTACGCAATATGACAGGTATCGATAGTTGGTATGCCTATATCTGAAACATGCTGTACTCGGGCCCCAGGCATTAGATAACTATGGACTGTAGAATCTTGGATACTTAACTAAGCTGAAACCCCTATGGTTGTCACATGAGGACTTCTCTCGTTTCTTGTGAACTGAAATGGTCAGTGATGTAGAGCAGTGTGATCAAAATACCTTTAATTCCCATACAGTACATAGTACTCCCGTTATCCCGTACCTCTTCTTAAAAGCATGTTGTGGCAAACTCAGGTTTTTCACCGTTTCACCTTAGAAGCAGCCTTGTCAACTTCGAGGAGGGTTGGAGGGCTGACATCGTCCTATTCGCGTTCTGGCTGGACGCTGGGCAACTGAATCATTTTTGTGGATCTGATGAAGTGTGCTTTAAAACCTTCCGTCCAATGTTGTAGCCATCTGCTCTCAGTGCTTATCGAGGTCATATCCTTCTTAGTGATGGTCTTATTCACCATCATCTTACCGGTATCCTTAATAAGCTCCAGTCATTGCCGAGTATTGCCTACTACTAATCCCTCTCTTCTTCTGTGCCCACTGCTGCTCTCTATAGTTGTGTAGTTTTATCCGATGTAATTTTGAGTTACCTTTGTTCTTCATTGTGATCTGCGTTAGCTGGAATAAGTCTTCTAATATCAATCAGTCCGGGTGAGATTGTTGAAATCCGCTGACTTTCGCTAACATTTGGTTTTAGGTTTCTGACTATCTTCACCGCTATTTTTACAACAGACTAAATAGTACACCAGATTGCATCACCAAAAGAACTCCTGCCATGTTCAGGTAAATGTTCAGTGATGTCTCTAAATACAAACTGAGAGTTGTCCTCTTCTCTTCGAACACATGGAGGGCTTTACTGTTGCCTGTTTCATGCACTCATTAACGCATAAACATACAAGTGCTTATGTTAATGTGTGGTTGGAGTTCAGGCAGATACTCCACAAGTAACAGCAATACTCCAACCATGTCTTTTAGCATTATGATCTGTCTTCCGTTGGCTTGATTTCAACGGACACCAAGTGAGATAGTGCGTCCTTATGCATGAAGTTATTGCTAACCGGAAACAAATAGTAAGAGGCGATCGCCATTGTCAGTTCGTTGACATGGGATACCTTACATACTTCCCAGATGCCTTTCCGGTTGACTCAGCTCTCCTACTTGGGCTGTGAAGTTGCTTACTACCATAACTATTTATAGGCGTTTTACTGTGAGGAAAAATTGACAGCTATTGACGGAACACATCTTTTGTTCCATCCGAATCGCAGTCGGTGGGAGTGTAGGTGGAGACTACAAATAAGCACTGATCAGTGTCACGGTCTTTTTCAGTTTTTAAAGATTCATTGCACCAGTCCATGGACAGCTGTTGGGGGATATCCACTTAAAAAGTGCGCTTTTTGCTTGATAATAATGCTTTGCTTACACCAGCAAGTTCACGAGGGCTAGTCGTTTCGTTTCCAAGCGCTTGTGAATATAGCAGATTCACCGCACTAGTCGTGTAAGGTCAAGTGAATAACCACATACATCCTGTATACGTGTCAGGAAAACACAGCATGGCTCTACAGATTCAGATCCAAGTGTCTTGGGAAGAGATGCCTGTTGTCCGATTAGGCATCGGATCCGGACGTTGAAAGCCCCAATGTAAAATTGAAAGCGGGGTTTTAGGAAGTCTAAGAACGTTTCTCTGATTTAGCTTTAGTTGCAAATTGAAGTTGAGGAAATCGTGAAGTGTCTAATGTTGGTATCAGGCAGTGGAGGCAAACGAGAACACAAAAGTAAGGAAAGTAGGTTATAGTTTGTTGAGTTTTATGTAGGTTACTGGGAGCGTGTGAACAGTTGATACTTTCTGTAAGTCACACAAGCTCAGTTTATATTTTTATAGGACATTATTATAAAATATCTCAGTGATTATTTACAGCAAACGTTTTAGATTTTCTTTGTGTCCTCTCAAAAATTTAAATTTCTTTGATCATCTAGACAATTTAACCTCTTGACTCATGTTGTGTTCGTTTTTTATTTCCTACAAAATGTAGACACCCTACGAGACTTCTGAATTCAGTTTATCGTCAAACATCTACTAATACGGTTTTTCGATGCGAAGCTCCTTATCATTCTGCCTATTCACTAGCATGTCTACCATTTTAAATTCTTGTCGAGTATTTGCATCTTCCACTGGCATACGGCGAGTATCATCAGAATGCTTCGAAAACGTGTTACATCACTCAGATAGAATCCGTCATGTCAGTCCAGAAGCAGTCCACTGGTTTCCAGGACATATGCATAAAGGAATGGAGACTATTCGTTCTAAAATGCCGCTCGTTGATGTCATCATTGAAGTCCATGATGCACGGATACCTTTCTCCGGTAGACCAGATTTTTTTCGGAAGTTTGAAATAGTAAGGAGAAGTGGAAAAATCTTTTTCATGTAATTTGTCCTATGAATTTAAAAGTTGAGATAGTGTTTAATTTTTCTGCAGCACGATCTATTTTTTGCTGGAAATTTCATTTCCTTATAAGTATTTCTAGATAATACAGTCGTTATTGTCAGCCACGTCAGTTCCTTACTTTTTGAAATGTATATCGTATCCTGCATTGGATAGTAAAAGTATGAAGTCGATAGCGAACCTAATTTTCGTGTTAATCATACAATAATTGGCACAGTGTCATCCTCTTTACTCTGACATAATCAGTCCGAAAATTCCTTTGTCATACAACAAACAATGTCCAGATTTTCATTCTTTTCAACTACGCAGGAATTACTTCCACTATATAAATTCTCATAAGATAGTTTGTTTGGTATTTGGATTGTTTTAGTTAGTTCGAAAAAAGTAGATTTAACTAATATGTCAATAAAAGGAAGGGATTTGGTTTCAGCGAACAAAATGGTTGTGATGTAGGTCTGGTCAACCCTTTGTAACCTTTGTGTTTTTGTTTTTAATGCAGATTAGCTTGTTGTGGAGTATATTGACAACTTCATCACGTTTTAACTCTGGCTGTTGGTCAGTTTATTCTCAAGGGTGTATAATAATGCTTGGAAAAGTCATGACTTAACCAAATTAAAGTGGATTTGCTTACTGAGGTGTAATTATTCTTCGATACTTTTTAGAACACAGAGTACGTTGATTGTAGTGGTATTCATTTTACTTTACTTAATCACTAGCTTAGTTTTAAAGAATTGTGCCCAGATAGACAGAAACAAGCGTGTACGACTTGCTAAATATACTCAGTTGTAAAAATATGTAAGTTCACTGTTGTTATTTTCTGTCTAGCTAAACTGTTAACTAGTAGTATATAAACAACTCATGGCAACTCATCTAAAATTCCGTATATCCACATATGATTCACATATGTTATTTTACAGTTAATGATGTTGCTTATTTATCCCAGATCTAACTAAATTAACCGGATATGAAAGTTAGTGTTTGAACTAATAAGCCATATGTTTCCTAAATATGAAAGACCCTGCGGTTTGCCATTACTTCTGCACAGTTCGGATTTAGTGATAGCTCTACCTTAGTAATCGTAAAATTCAGTTTTTTCCTCTGTTATTTCTTTATTCTGTATAGCACAGGGGTGAAGTATTTACTGAGTGATGTTTCAGACGGAGTTTATCCGCATAGTCATATGAATGTAATTTCTGAATACGGATAAAGAGGTTGAAATGAAAAAAAGGATTTTAAGTAACACCTTTAAAACATCACGAAAGCTCATTATGTTGATTTTTTTGTTGTGGTCTTTCTGCGATAACTATCTATTCCTAATCAGCATACACATGAAGCTGTGGTTTATTGGTTTAGGCAGTTGGGTTTCAAACACCACTCCACCTATGGAGGTTTGGGCAGCCAGGTAGTATCATTAGCCCTCACATAATAGTTGTAGCCTGCCGCACGACTGTGCATAAAGTTGCTCATTTTAGTTTCGAATCGACATGGATATGACTGAACACATTTCATTATCATCAACTGTTTTCGCGATGATTTCCCCAGTTTTGTGGGTCCAGTTATCCATCTCCGTAAATTAATTTGGGTGAAAGGCGGGTACTTGAAACACATCTTTTTACAGTGACTGACTAAAGGATTATCAGAATATGGTACTAGTACTTAATCTGGTTTAAAGTGGTTCCATGTAGGTAATCGTTTAAACATCTACTCAAACCTGTAAGGTTTTAAAACTTGGACTCTATTGTTATTTGATATAACACCGATACTCGAGAATTTTATCTGTTGTATCACTTTAGTTCCACTCTTTTCTCATAAACTGGGGTGACGTAAAGCTGATCGGTACCATTCTTCTTAAAACTCAATTTTTAACTGATACATTTTATGAATAGCGGCCAGCGTTTGTTCACTTTCATTAGTTTTTATTAAACTATATAATAACCGATGAACTTGATATACAGTCTATTCATATTACTAGGTTGTGTTAAATATGCATCGTCTAGTGAACAAGGCAGCAGTTATTCATATGCTTCTATGCTTTTCTAGTTTCTAAAGTAACAGGTCAAACTAGCCTTTGATCTGGTAAATTCGAAGGAGCAGAACCTTCTTATTCATTCGTATAGTAGAGTAGCCTAGCTATGAAACTTAGTCTTTGGAAGTTTTTTCAGCGTCTTACTATGACTTCATAACTTATACTTTCAGCTTCCCCCTTTTGCTTATTGTTTTACTTCATGGTATGGAACTTCACGTTTCAAAAAATTAAGCATGCTTAGGCACCGGGTTGTCTAAGTCCCAGGTTATTTCCATCGGTTTTAAGTGTGTTCTATGTGACTGTTGCCATAAGGATATGATCAAAGCAATATAGATTTTTAAAATACCTTTCTCCTAGTCGTAGCTGTGCTTTAGATATCAGGAGTAGTGATAGATTTCTGTCACTTGAGGTATGTAATTTTTCCTATGGATAATTCAGATGCAAGGCGTCGTTCGTTGTAAATGATGTCATCTCACATGGTTACCTCAGCCGGTTCGCTTCACCTTTGTAAATCCATAGATACTGTAACACTAGTGAGAATACGTTTCATTTTGCATACATTATCAGAAAGCATCTCATTTCTTAAGTTATTTAAAGGTGTTTGGTATTCAATTCAGTACTCATGTATTATTTTCAGAATGCATTTCTTTTTAGCCATAGATTTGTGCATTATGTTGCATTCTGCTTAAACCACGTTCTTAATTCGATTGAAAACCTCATTTTTTTTATAGACGCGTCCAACAGTTTTACTTCTGAACAAAACTGATTTAGCTGAACCAATCGGTAACAAACAGGCATATAAAGCTCGTATTGTTGAAGAATTACACGTTGTCAATCGTAGTCCACTTGAAGTTCACTATACTCAACTCAATGCACCTGAAAAACAAAAACGAACTTTGAAACGATTATTGTCCAGGTTAGTTTAAATTTCATGGAGAGATTGTAAGCGATTACATGTACATGCATAGAAATAAAGTATAAACTCTAAGCATCGCAATTAAACATTTCTTAGCTTCGATAGTTTATCATCGTATTATATTTTCGTTCCAGTCTACCTGATTTAGCTAACAGTGGAGGGTGTCCTTTCAGTTCAACCATAACTGTAATGGTTATGGGTATACCGAATAGTGGGAAAAGCACATTGATCAATGCTTTACGAGATATTGGCCATGGTGGCTCTGGTGGTGCAGCAAGAGTTGGCCGTAATGCAGGTCAAACTCGTTCCGTTGGCCAACCAATTATAATATGCAGAGGAAAATCAGACAATATAGGAGATAATATTGACCATCGTGTGACCAACCCTGGTGATTATACAATTCAGGTATTTGATAGTCCTGGTATTTTGGAACCTCGTGCTCGAACTTTAAGTGAACGGTTGAGCCTTTGTGTTTGTGGAGCTGTTGATTTGTCATCGGTTCATCAAGGTAAGTCTATTTTATTTACAGTGATAATATTCATCGGTTGTTTAGGCGCTCTCGTATACTGTTGTTTGTCGAACATGCAGTTCTCTCTTTCCTGTTATACGAGTGTGAGATATGACCGTTAAAATTCGAAGACATGAAACGGTTACAGGGTTCTGATCACATATGTATCCGTACCACTGCTCGCGTTTGGTGGAATCACCGCGTAAGCAATGTTGAGGCCAAGCGAAGGGTGCTGAGTAAGACAAACAAGTCGATTGATGAGGTTGTGAGCCTTAGTCTACTGGGATGCTTTGGACATGTGTCAACGTGTCATACTAGGGGAAGTTGGCTTAGTTAGGAAGACGGTTCAGGGTGGTCAGATGAAGATGTGACATCAGTTGATGAAGTCTCTCACTGCTAGTCTGAGTTGTGTGGCGAGATGTAGACTGCCTGGCTAGGGTCTCTAAGACGATAGGAATCTGTGGTTAAAGATTCTTGGTGACATGGTTGGAAACTGGTCACAATGGGGCAGATGTATTCACTCCTTAACATTTCCTAAAACTTGAATATTTGCACTAATCTTTATCTTCAGATTATTTATTCTCTCATAGTACTTTTTCTGTCCACCTATTCTTGTGTACTACAGTGAAGTGTGGCAACTGGAGCTGATGCACCTGTTTGTGAGGTTCTACGTTGATTTTACCTCGCTCTGTATTAGTTGGATATGTTGTGAATGAAAGTTGTTAATGAAGTTATCTTCACATAGAACGATCAGATGATTTTTTTTAGTGCATAACAAAACAAACAAAAATAGTGCACTGATATGTTTTAATTGAAAATGAGATAGATTTTGATGAAATGTGTATTGTACTCACGGTTTTGATGTTATTTACCTTACTGGACTCAAATGGTGGCCATCCGTAAAATCCAACTAAGGAATATTATAACTACTAACCGGTTTGGCAATACATATATCTTTTGATTGTGAATATCTAAAGTTGTCGGTGTATTCAATCTTGACCTTTTACTGTGTCAATGCCAAAGTTAGAATAAGCACCTAATCACAAAACATTTGAGTAAGATGGATAACGATCATCGGTTTTTTTTCTTCTTGACTTTCGGTGAGCAGCGTTCTGAAAGGATGGTCTCTTAACAATCTTATGAACTAGTATGCTTTCGTATATATTTTTTTGAAATCTAGTTAAGCCATGCGTTCGCTTTTTTTACCGTCAGTTTTCTGAGTAGTAGTGGTTGAGTCTGTTGACCACTTCACTTACCTGGGAAGTGGAATCAGCCCTGTCCTAGTGGCTTAGTACCCGATGAAATCTCTGCACGAATACAAAAGACTCGGCTGGCTTTTGCCAACTTACGCCACCATGATGTCCGATTGTTTATTAAGAGTCGCGTGTACTGCACAACAGTTCGGTCTATTTTACTGTATGGCTGTGAAACATGGCCGGTAAAGGTGGAAGACATAAGAGGGCTTCAAGTGTTTGACCACCGTTGCCTTCGTAGTATAGGCTGTATTTCGTGGTGTCACCACGTGAGTAACGCAGATATCAGGTGTAGAGTTTTAGGGAGAAGAGGTAAATCAGTTGACACGGTTGTGAACCTTCATCAACTGAGCTGATTGAGACATGTGTTACGTATGCGTAGTCGCCTATTGCCTCGTCACACAATGTCAGTCGAAGTAGGCCCAGGCTGGAAAAAGGCTCGAGGCAGCAGACTAAAACATGGCACCAATGTATGAAGTTTTTGACTGTTGGTTTGAGCCATGCGGAGGCGATGCAGACTAAGTGGTTGGGGTCTGTGGGACAAGAGGAACCAGTGGTTAGACACTCTAGGCGATATAGCTCAGAACCTATGTCAGTGGCTCACATGTTTGCACACATTATCCTCACGTTAACGCCATACCGATTCTCACCATTTTTTCATTCGTCGTTTCTCTCTTTTAGTAGTTTATATTTCTTTTGACTGAATTTTCTTATCTTCATCTTGCGCCTCACTGACTTTTTACTTGATGTAGTGATATGAGGTGTGACAACTTGGACCGTTACGCAGTAATGCCTGGTCCTATGTTGAGTTGGATGATGGATGGATTTCTGAGTAGCATCACTGTATTGATTGGTCAGGGGAGTGCAACCAATTTCATGTTGTCTAGTCCTGAGTGCAGATCGAATTCTATCGACCATATTTGCGATGTGGCAACCAAGCTAGGAAGCTGAGCATCGCGGTGCACATTAGTAGATGTTAGTTGGTTGGAGGCAATCGGCAGGAAGCCCTGGATCTAGGTTTCGTGCTTTTTGGCACTCGTCAGCAAGGCGTATCTGCAACCTCGACGGAACTGATGTCCCGCCTGAGATTCGAACCCGCGTCACCCAGTGTTGTATTGCCAAAAAGCACGAAACCTAGATCCAGGGCTTCCTGCCGATTGCCTCCAACCAACTAACATCTACAAGAGTAGCATCACTGTTTTGAATATAGTATGCTTAAATGCTGAGGACTTTTTATTCTAAATTAAAACGCTTATGGATCTGTAAGACAATACTTGGATGATACCGCCAGATTGTATATGTGGTATTGAACCATTCATATATTTCATAGTCGCACTTTGCTTTGCATTTTGCTCCTGTTTTTACACTTCTGTTTACTTGTAATAGGATAATATTCCGTAATCTAACTATGTGACATCAGCCAATTAATTCAATAAAAGCGAGTTATAATAATAACTGTAGTTAAATTGTAGTCTATTTAATGACTAGCAGTGGAATCCAGGACGTGCGTTTCGTCCTATATAGGACTTGTCAGCTGAATGCACATACACCCTAATGAGTAATGTTGTTCCCATGAAGACGGGAACCTTAGTACCTATCGCTTCAAATGCTAACAGAGGTTGAGCAATTCAACCCAGTGTAGTAACGGGAAGTCGCAAGTATCAATAAACAATAACTGGTTAATCTACTTTGTCTGTTATTTAATCGCTAATTGTTTCATTCTGCCTTTTGCTTATTTACACCGACTGTTTCTTGTGTGAGCTTCAGTTTTATATTAATACTGAAAAACTAAATATAAATTCTTATATTGATTTTAGAATTACTTGTCGATTATTTATTATTTTGGTGGAATTATCGGCAACGTACAGAGTATATTTCTGTTTTTGATCTTCCTGGTCCCACAAAGGATGTTAAGGAGTTATTGATCCATGTATGCATTAAGCATGACTTTTTTATGCCTGTTGCAAATCAAACGTGGAAAGCCAATGAAATTGAAAGTTTCGATGAATTGTCTACAAATGAAATTCTTCGAAAGGAAAAGGCGCCAGATATTCAACGTGCTGCTTCATATGTTCTTAAATTATTCAACAACGGATATTTTGGTCGTGCTACTTTCTTACCTGAAGATGAAGTAGCAGCTAGTAAATTGTTTCGTCTTGCCAGTAAACGTTGAAATTATTCTCACTGAATGTAATTTCTTGTGATTTTGTACAGAATACTGAAAACGTTTTGTAAATATATAGTGTAATAATCAGCTGATTAACTAACTTTTCATAACCTGACTTGAATCGATTCGCTTGACTTGTGTGGTTGTCATTATATATATATACCCTCGTCCTAATTTTACTCAATTGATTGATTTTCTGTCCAGCTACTATCACTTTTTCTGCCTGATATTTTCTGCATTTCATCTGAGTTTATGATCAGAACAGAACTGTACTAACATGCAATGGATCGTTTCAGCTGTAAAGCAGCTTTTAAAATGGATTGTGGAAAGAAGGCTATTTGTACGGGTAAAATATCAAAATGATGCTGAACAGTGAATTGCCATGAGTTGATGAGTTACTATGGTGATACATAAGATAGGATGAAGAGTATATTTTTTGTAGCTTAGGTGGATAATGTTGGTGGTACTGTGTTGTCTGAGTTGATTGTTTTATTTGTAAAGCTTTTATTGTCTTTCTAGACAATCTCCTCAGGACTAACTTCAGTATAGGGTGAACTATTCGGATTTCTCATTGAGAGTGATTTAGTAACTTGCCATACTGAAGTAGTTTGTGATTTTCAGTTTCAATTGATAGTTGTCTTATTGACTGCATAGGCTTTCCTATTGGTCATTTCTCTGACCTTGAAGTTTATCGTTTTTCTTGTTGGTTAATAGATTCGGCCTATCTTTTCACCTATTTTTTATTGATAGACCCGAATACTAAGCTTCCAGGGATTCTCTGATATTCTTCAGATTTCGTTTGTTCAAGATCTCTAAATTTTAATGCTAATAGTTATCCGCATTCACGCATATGGGAGATGAAATATCGTGTTGTTTAATTACCGACTGATGCCCCTGTAAACGAAAACAAACAGGTTGATCTCTTTGTCTAATGAAGTGTTTTTTGTAGTTGGTTTTGCAAATGATATTTGTTTTATTTTCTTTGACTGTTACATCCTTTAGTCTGCAGAATACGGTTTGATGAGAATTTGTTGGTTAATGAGCTCTGCTAATTCCAAATGAACTCAGTAGTCTTGTCGTGATCTGTGGTATATTCTTGATGTATAGTGGGGATGTCCCTTGTGACTGACTTCCATGAATAAATTTGTCGTTGATGATAATTTGGGTCATCATCTTCTAAAGTTTGAACATTTGCACTAACCTTTATCTTCAGATTGTTTATTCTCTCAAATTACTTTGTCTACTTTGATATCCGCCTTTTGTATCTACCCGTCCATTGTGTACTACGGCTAAGTGTGACAACTGGAACCGATGCATTCCTCTCCGAGGTTCTACGTTGATTTTGTCAGTCAGTCAGTTATGATAGTCTTGTGTTCGACTCCTCTGCTGTGATTGTAATATTGTAAAAAACTTTGTTAATCAAGTTGTGAGTGTTTTCAAAGTCATCATTGTCAATAATAAAAAATAACCAGCTGTATATTGGATTGAAAATTCAAGTTTAATCACTGATAAAACGATGGTTTCAAGTTTCTACATTACTGATTCTGTAATGAATCAAAATACATCGGTAATCCCGTTGCAGTTTTTGTCACTTATTTGTATATTATACCATGGGATATGAAGTATTTTTTTAGACAAAATGAATAACTTCCATCTGACTCGTTCCAAAAAGCATGTATCATTAGTGAGGGGAAGAGACAGTATCTTTACCCAGCTGTAGCTTACTTGATATGTAGAATACTGTGACATTGAGGGAAACTATCAATTTGTCGTCGTCTTTTCGAAGATTTTTTTTCGACAATTTGATAAAATGTTCCCATTACTCTACAAAGTATTTCAGTCTCGTCAAAAGCTCTGGATAAATTTTAGTCTGATATCTCTGGAATTGAGACTTTTGGTCTTCTGGGAAACTGAGGAAGAATAGGTTCATTTGACTTCCTTTGTCATTCGTCTTGTTTTGTTATTTGTCCTGCTTTGACAAGTTTCTTAGATGTCTTGATTATCTGGTCGTCAAACTTTCGAGGGACTGCTATACACTTTCACCTTTGAGTTAGTCCTCAGCTTTTCTAATGTAGCTTCACAGTTAAGCCATTCAGCTCAAAATACACAACACTACCAAAAATGTAAATGCATTTGTACCATTAGGATTAACTTTATTCCATGTCATGTTGATTTGGGTTATACAGATGATATTGTCCTCGTAGGTGAAGTCGCTGACAAAATGCAGGATCTTCTGGACACGTTGAACAGAAATCTGAGTATTTGACATGTGTTTCACACCTGTTAAATGTAAGATGATGCTCCAGGACCGGTTTGCAACTACTCCTAATTAAGGATAGAGAGTGAAGTGGTGAAGTGTGTTGACTACTTAACTTACTTAAGGAGTTGCATCAACCCAAACGGGCCGGTTGCTGACGAAACCCCAGCTGGAGTGCAGAAGGTCCGTTTGGTATTTACCAACTTACCCCGACTGACGAGATATCCGACTACCTACCAACCAAAGGATAAGTATACTGTGATCCAGTTCATTTTGCCCTGTTGTACGGCCATGAGACATGATCGTTAGAAGCAGGAGACATGAAGCGATTTCTGGCTTTTGATCACATGTTTCCGTGGCACTGGTAGCGTCTGATGGAGTCACCGTGTGAGGAATGTTGATGTGAACCTTAATCGACTGAGATGGTTTGGACATGTGTTGTGCATTCTGAGTGACCGCTTACCTAGGTGAGCAATTGTGGAAGAATTCGGATTAGATTAGAAAAAGACTCAAGGCGATCAGACCAAGACGTGACACTAGTCGATGGTGTACCTGACTGTTGATCTGAGCTGTGTGGGGGAAGTGTAGACCACTTGGATAGGACCATGAAGACGATAGGAGTCACTGGTTGAGGACTCTTGGTAGTGTGGCTGAAAATCGGTCACAACGATGCAGATGGATTCATTCTTTGAAGCATTCTGAAGCTTAAATATTCTGACTAATCTTAACTTTTAAATACCCTCTCATATTCACTTTTGTCTACTTCGATCTCCGTCTTTTCTGTCCATTTCTTCTGTGCATTCTAGTGTTAAGTGTGAGAACTTGGAGCAATAAACTTCTGCACGAGGTTTTTACGGTGATTTTATCCGTCTATCTGTGTGAAATATAACATTATATGTCAACATAGACAGGGATTTCATTTCCTTAACGGATGTCTTAATTCACTCCGTAGATTTAATGGCTGCATTATTTTGTCATATTCTATGATAAGTAGAAATCTAACTGTGACGTCTATTATACTGATATCAAAGATATCGGACTAAATGCTCAGGGGTTATGTGAACTATGATGACGAAGCTTTAAAAGCCACTCATCAGCAAGGCCTACCTGCAACGTTGACAAAACTGACGTCCGGCCTGAGGATCGAACCCACACCACCCAGGTTATCATTGAAGAATAAAGAGATGATTTTGGAAGCTTTCTTGGTGTACTATGTTCAATGCGCTAATTTTGTTACAATATTCCTACTTGTTTTCTTTAATTTTTGATCGTCATTACTTCTGATTGTATATATTCTTGGTTGGATGTATACTTTTGTTCATCAAAGACTCAGATTACTACGATTTTCCTTAGAAATGATAACAGACATCTTGCTTTACATTTCTTTGTCATCTTGCTGGATTAGGCCTTTAAAATGTGTCCAATCTACAGCTTTTATCTGCATAGAAAATGATCTTTGCTACTTTTTTTTTTCAAAGTATTATTTTCCTTAGATATCAATATTAGTCGATGCATACATAGATTTTCACTGATTAGTAAATGAGAGTTTTTCTAGTCATTAGCAGCATCACATATTCGTCATGCTGAATTCAGTATTTTCATATTCCTTCTTCCTCTCTTTTTATTGCTTTCTTTATCTTCTATCTTAATGCTGTCTCATTTGATTTGTTGATATGATGTTTGGACCACTAGGCAGTAGTCCGAGGTTCTTTCTTGAATGTGTTCTAAAGTTTATTGAATAATTTGTCAATTACTTCCTCACCTTTTATTAAGAGATGGGTTAGTCTAACTTGGGAAATATATCTTCACAACACTCTCACAGACACCCCTCTCCATTCAATGGCTTTTAAATTATTTAGTCATCGCAAAATGCTGTTACTTTAATCCTTATACAATTTGTTGAATATATTAATAATTACAATTTCGAGTAATAACAAAGTGTTATAGGCATATATTATTGTCGAAAAATTTCTAACTTATCTGGTTTTAAACTATTATTTCTCGTTTTCGTTTTTTTTTTTGGTGATGAACATTCCTAATGAATTCTAGATGGATCAGACAACATCAAAATCTTTGGGATTACAGAGTGCAGAAGACTTGAAAAATTTTAATTTGGGTCAACCCCCAGAAGATTGGTCTGGTTGGTTCTCGTACATGGCTTTAAAGGTAAGCATCAAAGCGTAAATTGTTGAGGTGTATCGAAATGTGTTTTCTACACACTTTTTCTGAATCTCAAATTATGTGGTTGTATTTCGATGAATTACTCCCTATTTTTATTTGATTTCTAGGACTTCATACAATCTGTGATTGTTTTATCTAATCAGAATTCAAAGAGATATATAAATCCTAGTCAGTTGTGGAGCTGCGACCGATTGGTTCAGGGCAGTTTGCTTTCAACCAATGACTTACGGGTTTGAACCCAGCTTCACCTACTATGGCTTAAGCAACTGGGTAATATCATTAGCCCTTATACAGTACGTGTAGTTCATTGCCTACCACATGTGAGTGTGCACAAGGTTTCTGAGTGCATTTCGCTAAGGTGTCCAGACAACACGTTCGCGATCTACAAAGATATGAATCATACCTCAGAACTCTTTCAAATATTGAACAATGCACATTTGAACATTATTTTTACAATAGGATTTGCGCATGAAAACCTCCTCAACGTTCTTAATTTATCGACTGAAAAATGCGATGATGGGTACAGTTGACATGAGCATCTACCGTAAACAGTATATAAACTAAAACAGCTTTTGTCCAGTAAATTACAAACTTTTACTTGTTACAACATTTAACGCATTTATTAACCTTTACTCAGGCGACAAAGTAGATGACGAACTAGTTTATGAGACATACTTGTTAGATGATGGTTATCTAAATAGATTGACTAACAAGTATTGAAAAGTATGTACCCAGCGAAAGAACGTAGCCGGAGTTAAGAAAAAATCAGTGTTTATACAACTGGTATATAAAAGAGATGATCTTTCTAAAAGGAATAAATTGAAGGTTGAAGATCTTTTTTCCAAGAAGGTATCTGTTTGCGAAACTGATTTCTCGATGCAGCAGTAACCGAGTCATGTATCAGACTAAAGTGGACAAGTATCCATCCAACATTAACTCTAACTGTATATACAAATTCATTTGTACTTCCCAAAGCAAGTATATCAGAAGGACACAAAAATGGGCATGTGTTCATTTCCTTGAACATTTTCCAGAGAACTTGCTACTGAACGGTTCAAAGTCGTTCACAAGTTAAATCATATGCCATAAATCCAAGATAGTTGAAATATGTTCACAGACTTCTATGTTGTTTCGTTTCATAGAATCGATAGCCATCCAAACACTTTCGAAAAAGACAACGGGTACTCTGGTGTTACCTTAGTAACTATATGTTTATTTCAACTATGATACCTCTTGTTTAATGTTTTCTTGTTCCTCTGTTCTATTTTTCCTATCTTTTCCGTATATTTTATGTAATACAGCATTCATTTGTTTGTTTCTGTGTTGCAAATCTGTTATTAACGTGATAATTATCTTATTATTATTACTGTGACAATGACTTATTTATTATTTCCATTTCTAACACCCACTGTTAAAACTCTAGGTTCTTCCTCCCAGTTACTTATGAATAAACTGTTGTTCACTTTATATTGATCTTAGTGACTAGCAGAGGAACTGAGGACGCGCTTTTCGTCCTATTTGGGACTCATCAGCCAGATATACCTGCACCCAGTGAGTGATGTTGTTCTCACCGAGGCTCGAATCCAGTACCCATAGCTTCAAAAGCCAAAGCGTTATCCACTAGGCCACTGGAGCACGATAGTCACCCATTGTGCAACGGGCATCGTTTTTTATTGTCGTCTTTGGATAACGCTCTGGCGTTTGAAACGATGGGTACTCGGTTCACTTCCAGTCTGAACAACATAACTCACTGGGTTGCAGGTACATTCAGCTGACGAGTTCCAAATAGAATGAAACGCGCCCTTTGGGTTCCTCTGGTGGTCACCAAGATCAATATGACCCCATAAATATCCAGCATTATCGAGGCATCCACGCATTAGCCCACCTGCCAATAGAGGTCGAGCAATTCGGCCCTGTATAGCAGTGGGAAATTACAAGTGTTGTTCACATTATTAATGTTCTTCAACAGTGACGCATTCAGGAATGATAAACTTGGCCAAGTCAACCAAGTGATACATCTGTGCGGCAAGTTATATATCAGTGACTGTAGTCATATTCTTTTGGCTTCTGCCTATCCCCCATACTATTAGGCTAACTTTCGAACTGTTGTTTAGATTTCGACTCCTGAAAAGTAACACCATATCACCATTTAATTGCATCTTGACCACTTTTTAGAGGATGTTTTTGATCACCTATAGCATGGTGTATATGGTTACTTCTTTGTACTTCTCGTTCTATCCCTTAATACTAATTCAGTATTTATTGCAGTCTATTTACAGCTGAGGAAAGCTGTGAAATAAATATGAGTCCAGTTTATTCTGCGAATATTCTTTTTGTTCCGATGAAAAGAAGTAATTGCTTGCATTCAGCTGTTCCTCACTCAATTGTCTTTTATTAATATATATCATCGATGTGTGAACTATTCTATTTGGTATTTCAGACGCTCAACTTATTCATAATATTATTATCAAATCAAATCCTCTTTAAATAATTTCTTTTCTTTATGTACTTATTTTTCAGTTAGTTTTATATGTTGCCAAGAATCCATGGGAATTTCTTACTTCAACACTGATTATCCTCACACCTCTAATGCTAATTTGTGCTTACTGTTCATATAAATTGCCAAAGAAATTAAACGTCAAGAAGATGATCAAAAAATGAAAGCTAAACGCACAGCTGCTATCAACAAGTCGAGGAAACAAGTTAAAGTGGACTAAGTAAATCAGTTTAAGAGATTCATTAGTTTATATCAATAATTTTTGTAAGCTTAAATACTACGTGTATTTGTTTTCTCTACCATTGTTTAACATCATCAAATGTCAATCTAAATAAGTAGCTTTTCTTTTCAACTGACATTTTTTATTGGTTACAATAACATTTTGAATTGTTCGCCTTTTTATCTCACAAATACTTTTCAGCTGTTGCATATTGTCTAAAAGTCTAATTCTGATTGGTGCATTAGATATTTCAAAATCAAGAAATCAATAATCTTAAGTTGTATGTACTACAAAATCATTGATAATCTATATTGATTGGCATGTAAGAGAATTAATTTTTACAGAGGTAATAAATATAAGAAAGGGAGAAAAAAAGAAGTCAAATCATAGCGAAAGAAAGTAATAAGTTGACTTGTCGATTTCATTAAAAACTCCATTGTTCGAGCGCTATTTATCTTGTTCATCTCAATTTCTGCTGAGTTCGAAATCGTTTCATATTATGATATTCATGTACTTATCTACTTGAATTTAAAATTGGTTCAACAGTAACATCCAAAATGGATCATAAAATATATGCTGAATAAAAAAAGGAGTGATGTGCAGATGGAGAGAATAATCAATATAGGTGAAGCACACACACTCACACACTTGGGATATATACATGAGGATTCTACAACTTCTTGTGTTATATTCAAATAGGATATAGCTTGAGAACATTTCAGAGAAAGAGTAAATTGTTTTTGTACTGGGACAAATAATGCCTAAAGTTACTGTAATCATGCTTTAAGTGATCAAAAATTGCAGGTAGATAAATGAGAAGAATCGTTTGTTTTGTACGAATACCTCAAAAATTGCTTGTTCCTTCATAAATTTCATGCATTCAAATCCCTTGATAAATTTGTACATAGCAAAGAGGACGAAATTTATAGAATAAAATGATGTCATCATTTTATCTTACAAATACTCTTCAGCTGCTTCATACAGTCTAAAAGTCCAATGGTGATTGGTGCATATTTTCAAAATCAGGAAATCAATAATCTTAAGTTGTATGTATGTACAACAAAATCATTGATAATCCATATAAACGTGTAACTGTAGAGAAGTAAGAAGTATAAAACAAAATAAAATCAAGTCATATTCACCAAAGGAGTGAGAAATTAACCCTACTCTCGTGTATACAGAGATCAGGTTGAAACAACTTTATAACAGATGCCTCGGTGAAGTAATCCAGACATTTTCTGTACATTCATTATCCTGTGTCTACAAGGTGTTTGGGGATTGTACTGGTTACAATTCTGTTTCATTCCAAGCACAGATTTTTGGAGATATGCATAAGGAATTGTATGAACACTGCTCTCTCACTTTGCAAGTGTATATGGATTCAGTAAGAGGTGATATAAATAGGGTAATTATCCAATTTTGACTAGTTTAGTGAGTATGTGGTATTTACGCTCTCGGATAACTCATCTATTCAATTCTGATTCTTTGTAGAGTGTCATTGTTGCAGAATGTTTTCTCTACTGTAGTCCATGGATAGGGGGATATGTCCATATACTTAATAAAGGAATTAACATACTTCAAATAATACTGAAATTTACTAATCTATCAGCTTATGTTATTGTTGTTTTAAAAGTTTTCATTGTGCATAATATCAGTTTAAGCATAAATCTTATTTTTCTTGTTCTAATGAAGATTGTTCGCTTATTTCTGTGTATCAGTCTAGTATTTATTTAATATACTTTCTTTTTTGTATCAGAGTAAACTTTCTTCTTGGCATGTTGTTCATCATTTCATAAATATATATATTTCACTACAATCTTTGTGTGCATTGATTATTTCGGTTATAAATTTTATGATGCTTTATGAAATGTAGCGTAAACTGATACTTAGTTGTGGTAGAGTTCAATGTATCTATCTATATCTGTGTATTGTATAAATATATGGGTGTTCCCAGGATTATCAGTTGATGTCTGGAGCAAGTTATTTTCTTGCATTAAGATGTTTTCTATGAATTTGAGATATCCTCGCTTTACTTTTCAGTTTATTTCTCAGCAAATTGATATAGCCTGCCTAATTATATTCGTGTTTATAGTTGCATTAATTCTTAGTGTAATTCAACCCAGTAGAAGTAAATTTACTGGCCTATGTTGCACGGTTACTATATCAGGGTTTATAATACAAACTAGTTGTCTGGACCGAAGTACATGGAAGAGGGAAATGAGTGTTGACACATATTAGTTTAATTTTGAGTACTTAATAATTTGTATTGAGCTGCGAAGATACTAACCTTCATTCATCATTCGATACATGCGAACGGTAATTCCTATTAATTTATTGATATTGGAGAAGGGTAATACTATAGATATCTGGATTCAAGTACATTATTATTATTATTATTATTATTATTATTATTATTATTATTATGGCAAGCGTTAACTCTGTTGTTCTTCAGAATGATAGGCTACTAATCCACATTGAACCACATGCGCATTGAGAGGAAGTATTCATCATATACTAACATAACTGAGTGGCTAGCGCATTCGCCTCGAGACCTTTAGGTCCTGAGTCTGATCCTTAGTGGGGTCGTGAATGCGTTCTAATGAAAAGTGCCGTACTAGGACTGAACAGCCATATATATTCGTTTATCCTATAGACTCATTTGTATATGTTACAGTGTGTTTATCTATTGTATAAATCCTTTATCATAATTATAGGAAGTCTGAAAACTTTTATAGTCATTGAATGCACCTTCTAGTTCCAAAAAAATGTTGCATGACCCCATGATACAGTATTACTTGCAGGATATCGTTAATCGTAATAATAGTAATAATAATAATAATAAATGCTGTATCATTGGGTGCTGTATCAAATGAACAATCTGGTGTAGAATTTTGCTGTACCACTACAGTCTCCAAATTTTACTCTTATACCAATTTCATATGACTATAAGTTTAAATACTGAATTCTTTCAAAGGTGTGCTTGTGGAAATAATCAATACTGTTTGAATTCTGTTGTATTTTCATTCATAATTAGACTTTTTAACAAACTTTCTGTTGTTTGACCATTTCTTTTGTTTGCAATACATTGAGTCACCATCAAGACTGAAACCTGAAGGTTGTTGTTTAAGAGTTCATACAATTATTAGCAACATATTTCTATATCATTCTATTCATTTTATGCTCAATCGATGCTACCGTGATGTGGTGATTCGGTTGGTATATTACCCAACGAGCTATGCTGCTGGAACACTTTTTCCTTCAAGATCCTATCATGCTATAAATGTCTGTTGGATAGTGGTAAAACGGAAAGCACTTGCCATTTTAATGTAATTTGCTACTTCATGATGGGGGGTAGGAGAGTGAAGTCATACTGCCAACTGGACAGGAGTGTAACAGCAGTTATACGTTTCCTTTGAATTGCCAAGAATTTTATTCTGATGCTACCTTCCCTATGAAAAGAGGAGGTTAGAAAAGGTTGGCCCCCCAAAATAGCACACTGCCCTTATCCTATGGCATACCGATGCATGCGACATTGTTCATAGTTGGAATCGAAAACAACAAAACAAAATTTCAAGCTTCTGAAAAGGCCATGAGTAATCGGTCTTATGCATATGGCCTTCTTTTTCAGGTGTTTCAAGAAGGAATGATGTAGGCAGTCAGAAGGTATCCACCGCCTTCACAATTCAGTCAGTAATCAATTTCCTTCAGATATTCATTTTATGATCCATGTTGTTAATTTTCTGTGTTGTAGGTAATAATGTTTTCCATGATTTAGATGCATAAAATTCCACTGTTAAAAGTGTTATAATTCATTTTTTTTATTTGTTATAAAACATTTTCAGATATTTCAAGCAAATCGTATTAATTTGAGGATTGTCGCTGGTTATCGTGTTCCTTGTTATCTTTAAAAAAAAATCAGATTGAAAAAATCTCTTTGTGAAATAAACTATTTTCCAAGTTTTTTAAAATTATTACTTCAATATAATTTCGATGGTATTATTTCTAAAGTCTACCTGTATAAAGTATGCATAGATTTAATATCATCATATTGTTAAAGATCATCTTATAAGAGTGTTGTAATATGTGAAAAAGAATTTTCAGTTTTTGTTTTGGTTAATCTACTTCTATCAGCTCTTTTTATATAATGTTAAAGATCTGTAATTTCTACTTTATAAATAGCATAGATATTGAAAAAAAAATATTTATAGATCACTGATTGAATTGGTTTGTACACAATGATAAAGTGTTGAACACCTACATTGTTGTACTGTTGATTATCCTAAGTTCACGCATTACAATACACAAGTTTCTGTCTTTCTTGGTCCTCATTGTAGGTAGGTGATATAAATAAAGTCGATTACTTGAGGATATCTCAACTGATCATTTAGACATCTGTGTACCTATGTAACCCGTTTTATCTGAAGTGATTTAACAACAAGATCTTAGACATTCTTTTTGAACAAACAATTAGAAATACGAACTATTTACTGAAAGCTTGAAGTATCTGTAAAAGAATTGAATATTATCTGCATTTCTTTTTACTTCAGCATAGCTTTATCAACGAACATGGAGAGAGAGATCTTCGAACTTTCATGATTAACTAACTGACTAGAAAATAAAGGAATTTTATCGATTGATGAACATGTAGATCTACATCTTGTTAACTTCTCCACTTATTCACTCCCAAGACTGTCTTGTCTTCTCGCAGCAGTCATTTTTCAGGTGACATGACACCAAACAGTCCACCAGTAAATGTTCTGTTAAAAGTTGAGTGACAGCCTATTATTCAAACATAACAGCGAATTAGAGTAAGGAAGGTAGATGATTGTGCTAACAAATATACTAGTTATTCATTAGCTGCATAATTAAGACCATTGAGAATACGTTGTTCACTTTGTCTACTGTCATTTCGGTTTCAGTCTATGTCGACAGTGAATACACAATGAAGTGTTTTGATCATTCTGTAGAACTACTAGGCATTCCTATTCAATTATCTTCAATTTTTCAGTCACATTACTATTACCACTCAACAACTAATCAATTAAATACAGGTTGGAACACTCAGTTAAGCAATTCACGTGCATATCTTTGATGGGGGTTTCTTTAAACGAATCATGGTAAGTATTTAGTTGATCGATTTATTTGTAGTTTATTCACAAGTTTGTGCCGGGTTAAAATGAAGACCGAGGTCGAGGCGAGACAAGTCGGTGGCCCGCCCTTCGCCCTACCACAATACAATACCCATGTGGTGGTTAGGTCTTAATTTTATTTCTAATTTAGCTCTACTGGGATTAGAACAGGGAATTTGGCTGGGTAGCTAGTGTAATTATGATCAGCAGACAGTTAGGAATCATGGATTCACATGGTAACTAGGCGAAACCCTAGGTGACTGAAGTAAGGACATGGTCAGCATTTAAGTTTCGCAGCACAGGTACTATAGCATTGGGCTGGTGACTCGAAGACCACTGGTTTAAATCTTACCACGACTCAATATCATTAAGCCGTACTATGTTTACGTGATGATATTCTTAAATTATCACTCTAAATCGAGTCACATACGCCTACAGTTATGCATGACTTATACGGAGAATAAGAAGTTAAGTAAATTAAAAGGATTTTCTCTGATGGCTATTTACGGATATTTATGACAAGTGAAATAAGTTGCCAGTTCCACTAATTCTTAATTGACCTTACAATACCTCTAAACAACGCTTGCATACATTACTTGTGATGATGCACATAGCATCTTGGATATTTAGCGAAAAGATACACGGAGTGTAGTTTTTGATGATGTGTTCTCTGAGCTAGATGGCTTATTGTGGAGCTTTCATTGTCATTCTTGACAGCAACAGAACAAACTTCAGAAAGAAGTGAACAATAAGGTTTTCTGCATAGTTTGTTTAGTAGCTTCTTCTAATGGCCTTGTGTGTGATTGGTTGTTCCCGCCAGTCTTGTCATCGTCTCTATAATTTTATTGTGATTGGTCGCCCTTACGATCTGAAATTTGACCTTGTCGTTTCTTATTGGCTGATAGATTTTGTCAGTGTCGTACCCAAATCCTGCGAGCTCCAGCTGCTTTTTATTGTTCCGGAAACAATTTACTTGATTTTAGCAGGATGTTAAAAGTCCAAACAGCTAGTTTCATTTGTTACTCGATATTTTTTTTATCTACCCAGTACACTTATTTGCCACTAGTTTCTGAACGTTTTAACCAATATTACCATGACTTTTGTTTATTGAAAAACTAAATAATACAAAAAGTACTTTTTCTGGTATAGGGAAATATGTTGCCATTTAGAAATCTTATGAGTAAATTACAACAATGGGGAATTAGATTGGTTATGATAGGTGAGCAGCGTGTGAAGCTCAATAAACTAAAAGCAATCTCTGTACAAGTTGTACTACAATGATAAATATATTGAGGTAATCGTTGGATCCTATGGGAGGCATCTAATTCATTTCGCGCTTAGAACCCGCACACTACGTCGAGACGAGACAGTTTTTTGAATCGATATCAATAGTACAACTATTATATGACTGACAAAAGTCATAACTTAATGGTCAAATTTTCCACTTGATCTTTTTTGGACGTGAGCAATCGAAATTTTGTCACTGAGTGATAAGATTACTTGCAAACTGTTTATTATCAGACTGAATAGTACAACATAAACTTTGGAATATAATGTGTAGCAACATCTTTATATTATCCATCTTCATATACAGCTTCCCTCGTAAAAGAAAACGCAATGTACTCAGATGTCGTAGTGTGCCTTTTCAGTACAGAAGTTCGATAACGAAAACCGATAGATACTTCGGAATTTTCAGTCCATTGTGTCGATATTGTTATATATCAGCTAAATCTGCTCTTATAAACTACCTCTTCCAGTGAACACCAATTTCAAAAAGAAACTGCTGAACAAAACGAAATCTACGAATGATCTTGGTCAATGAAATTTCAAGAGGCTGGATTTAGTGAATCATGTTGAGCGGTTGATAAGGATCGGTTCGCAAAGTGTGGCAGTTAACTCAACTGATGTTGGAAACTATCAGTAAACCACTTACACAGTGGGTTGCTAAATCGATGAGGCACTGAGCAATAACTTTCTGTGGTTCATATCACATCCTAATTGGTATTTTGCCTAAATTCTTGCTGTGGTTGGAACGGCTGATAGTAGTCTGAAAAATAAGAAAAATAGGTCATAGTAGACTAGCATGAAGAGTTATTGATGACAGGCGCCATAAGTCGTCAGCTGAACTCGATGTGGTAGTGACTAGACTCGGAGACCTGAGAAAGTCTTGTCAACCTGAACCAATTTATTCATTATCCTAGTTTATCAGTAGATAATCATTTTTCAACAGCCACTTTGTGAATATTTATTTATTGATGATTATAATATCCTGTTTCATTTTGATGCAGTTCACATGGCTGTGGGTATCAGAGGAATACTGATATGATATTTCCCCTTCGCACTCACGAGTTGAGTGTACTTACATCCCAGTGAGTGATGATAATACTACTACCGGGACTCGGTCCCTTCACACATCGCTTCAAATGCCAGATCGTTAACCATTAGGCTGTTAAATAGCAAGACCCACCTCTTGTAATGCAGGTATCAGTTTTTGCGTTGGTTGTTATGCTGAACTGATGTAGTCATTTTCTATGGGTATATGATCCCCTAGGACGGACATCTCAATATTTCTGAGTCTGAGTGAATAAGGTCCCTTTAACACATTTAGATGCAAACGCATCAGCTAATTTTTTAATTCATCGCTGAAGCTGGATGTAATGAATTCCTACATGTATATTATTCAAGGAACTTACTGGTGGAAAATATATAACTCAAGAACCCATTTCTGATGTCTGTGCATTAAACCAGTTATTTCATATGTCTGCAAGCTAATTTCACTCTTCTAGCTGTCTATAGTCAACTGGATAGTATTTTCCTTGATTCTTATGCAAGTGATACTTTCAAATGTCTGAGAGTATTGAATCCATCTCAAGTATTACATTTAGAATATGTGCAGATATTTTGAGTCGCCTTCTTTAATGCATGACTTTTCAAAAATAAAATTCCGGCTACTTGGAAGGGGATAATAGTTGTACCAGTACCTGAGTCATCTTCCGAATCAGTTGTTAAGTTTAAACCTATTGCTATAACCTCTCCTTTACTGAAAACAATAGAGAAATTACTTCTACTTATGTCTGAACCTTCATTGAAGGTTTTCATAGATCCAAAAACATTTGCCTATAATTATAGAGATATTGGCATTGTTTTGCACCATAATTTTGTTCTTGATTTAGACGAAGGTTCTAGAAATGTTCACTACAACTTTTCAAGTTACACATCTGTCTTTGAGTCTATTCCTTGACCTTGCCTGTCAAATAGACTCACCACCGCTCATACTGAGTGAATCGAACTTTCCCACATCAGATTTGTTGATTTTATAAGTAGCGCATAGTGATAAAGTATTATTTACTTGATGATGTTACGGGCATAAATTATTGCTCATAATCAAATCAATGTGATAATGAGTGATATTGACATTTTTCTTAAGGACCGTGTATAGAGTTGGCTTTGGTGCTACTTGACCTCTACAATGATTTATAAACGTCGTCATATATCTATTTTCCATAAGTGCTTTAGTCAGTAATTTGATATCTTTATCCATCGCATCGGGTGTACTGATAACGATAGGCATTTAACTAGATCTCGCTTGTACTGAATTGGACAAAAACTGTAGAAATTCAGGTATTATCCTATCCATGAAGGCTTTCTGTAAACTGACCGTCTTATTGAACCATCTCGTCGACTGAGGAGTATGTCTAGGAATGGCAGTTGATTATTATTCTCTTTCTCACAAGTCAGGCT